GCAACCACCCGGCCCATCCAAGTAGTTCCTTTAATTCACAGTGTCACAGTGTCTCTTAGCCGTCATAGCCGCTTTCAGTTCTTTCAGTTTTGTCCCTCCGGGCAGCGGCAAGCGGCAACGGCAACCCGCGGTTTGTCAGCCGCTGCCCAGAACCGAACGAAGTGCAAGGAGTGCCTCCAGGGAGAGCCTCCGGGACCTTCGTCGAGTCCTTCGTCGTTTCGGAAAAAGCTGCCGGTCGGGGAAGTTGCGGCTGAGGGCTTGCGAATCTTGCAGAGAAAGCGCCATGAAGCCGCGATGTGCGCCGCGCGCGGCCCAAAAGAGAGCTTCCACACAAAGAAAGCGCCCCATTCGGGGATACAAAAAGATTCGATCCCGTCTGACCCACCCGTCGGACACTCGGACACTCCGATGGAGGCTCTCCTGGAGGAGCTGCTCCGCTCTGCTCTGCGAAAGCTCTGCGAAAGAAGCTTCTGTTTGGCCGTGCGCCTGCGATCGCGGCTGCGCGCAGGAGCTGAGGCGAAGCCAGGACCGGCTTCGGAAGGAGGCGCCTCCCTTTTTTTGTAATTGCAAAAAAAAAAACCGCTTCAAAGTGAAAGAGGACGGGGAGGCGGCTGAAGTCGCCAGGTGCTGGCTGGCCAGGCAGCGATCCTCTGCGAGCTTCGGCCTCTCGGCGCAGCGTTGGACCTCGCAAGTCTCGCGCAAGTCCGCGCGTTTTCGTCCCCGAGGAGCCTGCACCACTACTGGAAGCAGCAGCTGGGAGCGGTGCAAGGAGCCGAGCAGCCGCGTTTGTCAGCCGCTGCTTGCCGGCAGCGTGGCAGCAGGTTCGAGGGCGGAGGTCTCCGCGGAGGTCTCCGCGGAGCCGGTGTCGAAGGTCTCTGAGGAAGCGGTCGAAAGAAAGCTCTCCGAGGGACTCCAGGACTTCACCGACTCCATCGTGCGCGCCCCGCGTCGCCTCTGCGCTTGCACGCTGGCGGTGCCTGGCGGTGCCTTGAGGTCCAGAGCATCGAAGGACTGAGCTCCCGGGTCTTCGAACTCCCGGCCGGACCCGGGCCCCAGCCCAAGCCGCGAACTCAAAAATGCAAGCAGCCACAGAGTCTCATGGCCGCCATGGCCCATGGCCTCCAACCTCCGCTTCAGGACGCCCATCGCGACCTCTGGCATTGCAAGGTCTGAGAGAAGCGTCCGCTTCGATCCGGAGCCGCCCTCGCCGTCTCCTAGTGAGTTCCATGGCGATGCAGCGCACGCCGAACCCGAAAAAACGTGGAAAGAGGCCGAGGCCAAAGTTGCCAAAGCTGCCAAAGCGGCTGTGCCGCTGGTCACAGGCGGATCGGCCAGCGTCTCGGGGCTCTCTGTTTCGACCTCCGAGCCTCCGACGAAAGACCCACGCCAGCAGGAAGAAAAAGAGGCCCAACGCCGAGGAACGCCACGGCTGCTCATAAGGATGCCTCATAAGAGCATGAGCCGGTGTAGAGTCCTTTGAATACCAATGCTCGTCGGAAGCGCGTTGGCCATGTATGCTTGAAATCCTGCTTCCCGCAGAACTACTCAGCCCGTATGCAAAACTCCGCATTCAGACTGAACTGAAGAAACGTCTCCGGCTCATGCTTATAACCATGCTGTCGCCTTCTTGCTATCGTTATACTGATGAGTACCTCATTCTGTGTTCTCGGCCAGCAACCCAGCAGCTTGAACCTTTTGAGACCTTGAAGCGCCACTGGTGTGCAGCACGAGTCCGAGCGGCATTGGCAGGGCAGTTTCATTTGTGTCGGCAGGTTGAGATTGAGATAGATGATTTGCACGTGTCAAGGTAAGGAGCCGTCTTTCCGGGCATTTTTTGCATTTTGCTCCCAAGCTCCGGCCCTGAGATTCCGGGGAGTCCGGGATACAGCCTTAGCCAAAAGTGTATCCAGCTTCTGCTTTGCTTGTACATGCGAAGCTTGATCAGTTGCTAGCTGCAGTAACTTCACAGCTTTACACATCTGCAGCTACAAGACGAAGCATCTTCAGTTTGAGATTAGTTGTAGTGCTCCCCTTTTTGTGGTAGGTCGAGAAACTATCAAGCATGGCCTTTGGCTGACGGGATTGATGGGTCCATGCAGACCTACGCCGCTTAAATGCGCCATCTGCGCGGGCGGCCAAGCTACCGCACTCAGTAGCAGCACCGTGAAGTTGAAAAGATCACGATGCGGGCTTTTGCTCTTGCTTCTTGCATGTTGCATCATGTTGCTTAAGGTTTGGCGCGACTTGCGACTTGCCAGTGCTGTCACCTGCAGCCGTGTGCCCAGCCGTGTGCAGAGCGACTGAGCATCGGACTGAGCTCCCGGCTCCCGGGTCGGCGCGGGCCCCTGCCCCATGCCAGGGCCCCCCATAGCATGGCCCCATAGATTGCCATGCATCTATGGAAAGTTCCTCCGCTCGTAGACGCTCGAAGAAAATCAGAGAGCAGCAGCCGCAACCGCCGCAACCCCGCGCCTTTTTCTCGCTGCGAGCCATGTCCGACTGTCCGACGGCGGCGCCTCCGCGTCTGAGCCCGACAAGGATCTCTTGACGGAAGCGCTCCGAACCCTCAGCCAGGATTGGTAACTGCGTGCTTCGCTGTCCTGAGTGTGGCTGCGTCGTAACTGCATCACTGTGCGTGCATGTGCTACGCTGGTACTGCTCTTCATTCAACCCGCCTCAGGACTTCCCGGAGGGTCTCGTTCCCAAGACGGTTCTCATACAGTTGTTGGGCAAGTTGTCAGAGAACAAGCTGGTCACGGAATGCCTGGTGCAGATGGCGGATAAGTTCTGCAAGGCCGACGTTCGAGTCGAAGACTTCTTGGAGGACTTGCGCAGCTGGCATGCCCGTGACACTTCCGAGGGCTTGAGGAAAGAACTCAGCATCGGAAATTTTGCAAATTGGTGTACATCTGCCGATCTGGAGTTCCATTGTCAAAGGCAGGCACTGGATCGAGTTCGGGATTCTTTTTTCTACACATAGTTTGCCAACTCGAAAGACAGATGCGGGAGCCGGGCTGGGCTTCAAGAATCCTGCGACTACGGCACCGGCAATGAGGAGGTCGCAAGCAAATACCCGCGATTGGACCGAATCGCACAGGCCTGGCTCACGTCACAGCCGAAAGCTTGTCCTTGAGCCACAGGCTCTCTACAGCACCCTGAATGGCGCTTGTTGCAGGCTTTGAAGCAAGATGGGGCTTCCTCCAGAGCGCGCTTGCACACCTGCTTGGCGAGCCCTTCGACACTTGCTTGCTCGACGATGGCAGCCAGAGCTTTCTCAACTGGCTTGTGGAGTGCGGCTTCCAGAAGGTCTTGCTGGACTGGTCGCGCTTTAGTAGCAGTCCCAAGGTCAAGGGCCGGACGGATGCTGAAGTGGACCGCTGTGCAGAAGGGCTTCTCAGCTTGATGAACAGGTTCGAAAAGCTCGTCTTCGTGCTTTCCATACGCGATCACGCTTGCTCTAATCCTCAGGGCGAGCTGCTTCTCGATCGCCTTCTTGAAGCAAAGCCGCCGGCAAAGATACAGGTGCTGTACAACTCCTCGCGAGGATTAGGCGAGAAGTCCACCATCTACAAATGCCCCGATTCGCGTGATCAGGACAGGCTGGTCGGATATGCCGGGGGTCTTGGTCCGGAAAATGTCTTGCAGCAACTTCATGAAATGCGATGGGTCGTACCACAAGGAAGGCATGTATTTATTGAGGCCCAGTCGGGCGTCCGTGACAAGCAAAACCCTCAAATGGACAAAAGCATCTGTGTCTCCAGGGTTTCGTGCAGGACTGGCCTGTCCCGGAGGTCTTACTGGAGCCCCTAAAAGACCCCTGGTCGTCAAGGTCGGGATTTGGCGGTTTTCTTGTTTACAGAATGAGGGGGGGGGTACAACCGGAGGCGTCTGCCTCAAGGGTCTGGCATGCGGCGTGCGAGGGGCTGGGGTTGCTTTCGGGATTTTTTGGCATCATTTAGTCTATGGCTCTCATGTTGAGCGCTTATGGTATGCTACTCTTTGATGTTCCGACTCCTAGCGGTATTGAACAGCGTTTGGTTGCTCAAGGCTGTTTGACGTGCTGATGGTCGAAGTTTGGAGAGCTGCGAAGTACATACTATACCAGATTCTGCTAGAGAAACCGTAGTGTAGTAAAGTATTTACCCCTGTGCCAGGATGGACACAACGTATGTCTCCACTTCCTGAGCTGGGGCATGTGCGGACATGACACCGGAATGTTCTTATTCATTCACCGGAATGTTCTAATTCTCTTAGAAGTGCGTGAAGAGGCGCAGCCAAAAGCAGAGTGCCGTGCGAATTCCGGATAACATCCCAGCAAGGTGCACCTTAGAGTACATCGTAAATACAGAATAGATTACGCAAGAGAGTATGTAGAATAGTGTTAAGAGGACCTTTGCACGAAAACCAGGGAGTTTTCCAGCAAGAGCCCGCGAGCTCGACGCAGGCCGAAAACTTTGCCGAAGCGAAGAAGCTGAAAGCCGAGCAACAGGACACGTCTCGCAACGACTACAGTCGATGATGCCTTGGAGTACAGGCAAAAGTCCAGACTAGAGTCCATTAAATGTACGCATCGTGCATTCGTCGTAGTATATCCTCCAGTCTATTTTGTGGTATATGGCCAGATGCAACAACACCAGTTCAGTGAGTTCTGAGAGTTGGTGGTGGGGGGGGGCGGGGGGGACTCAGGGCTCTGACGCCTTCGTGGGAGTCCCTCTGATGGGCAACCCTCGTGAAAACGGGGCCGGTGTGGGGGCGCTCACTGTTGAGAATGACCGAATGATGTGCCGATTTCTATTGTACAGTTTCGTTTTTGGTATCTATCTTCACTCATACATTATGTTCTGGCATCTTGCATATTATGTTATCACATTTGGGGTTGCATTTTAAAGTAGCAAACTGCACGAGGCTGTACTGTACCATGTTCTACTATCTCTACTACATTCTCCGATATGTTCTATTAACTATACTACATGCTATACTATACCACTACATACTGATTATGCTGTATGATACTCTCAGTTTTGATGGCTTGGGAGGGGAATCTTTTGGACTCACCTTTTCCAAACAGGCAGTATCCAACAAGGACAGTTCCGGGAATACTGAGGAGTAAGTGTCGCAAGTACTTAAGAGACGGATGCAGTCATCGCCAGCACTGCCAGGACTTAGAGCAACAGCTGAAGAAGCTGGAGCTGTGAGCTTCGCTGTCCGCTTTTCAGGACCCATCTTCAAGTTTGGATTTGCTTAGTTTTGTTGTCCAAAGCTCCTCGAGCTCTTGGACCAGTGCCAGCAAAGCCGGCAATTTCGGGAAGGCCCGAGCAAAAACCAGACCCTGGCTTGCAGGGGACACAAAGGATCCGCAGTCGTCTCAGTCCACTTTGCCGAGTACAAGTGTGTCTTCAAGTATATGCCGCGTATTCTAATACACCGGTCTCTCAAATTCTTTTCGTGTGCGGCAGTACAGCGGTTCAGCCGAAGGATGAGCAGGCTTATTGGCTGGTCTACCCGGAGATGAATGCTCAAGATAACACATGCTAGAGTATCGGATGCAGCGCAGTAGTATAGTATCCTAGAGAATAGTGTGCTGCCGGACCAACCCACAGCTGACTTCAAAGAGGCGCCTTAAGAGCAAAGAGGTCAAAGGTACATCAAGCCACTGTGAAGCAGCTCGGACTGCACCCTCGGAGCTCTACCTCAGTGCGGCCATGAGGATGTCAGCATCAAGCCCCCCGGAAGGGCGCAGCATGGCAGCACGCATCTGTTCTTGCGGTATTGCCCACCCACGATTTCGCGACATGACACCTGTATACTTCTCCTTGTCAGGTGGGGCCTCGGCGGCACCAACTCCCGGGGCGTCCGGGCCCAGCAGACTGCAAACTCTTTTCGTAAACCTCTGCACCCAGGGCCAAGCTCGTTGCCGAGGCCTGGCTTCTTCGCTTCGAGACATGTGACCCGAGCCGTTTCACAGCCAAACTCGGTACAAGCCCCGTACGCGAGAGGTTCCTGTGAGGCCACGGTTCCTTTTGCAATACGGGTTTTAAGTCCTGCTCTGTCGGTGATTTGTTTCTCAGATTTGCGACTGGTGCTGCGATGCCGCGCACCTTTCGCAATGCCACTTCACTATCATCGTCTCAGGTAGTTGCAGTGATCTACGCTGGTGTCTTCAGTGAGCAGCGGCGGCAACTTCTGATAAAAAGTTTCAGCGGGCGCAGGACTGGACGGGTACCCGGTCTGTGGCAGCAACTGTCCAAGGTAGCCGTGGTTGCTTTGAAGAAGGTGCTTGCCGCAGGTCGAGACGAAGATGACGAAAGGCTCCATAACTTTCTGTGTGACGGGGCACTGATTTCGGAGAAGCCTGTCAGCATGTTTGGTTTAAAAACGCGCTAGGAGAAGTATACGCCGTCCACGGCTTTCGGGTTTGGGCTTCAGCGCGCAGGGGCCCATGCCGAATCCCCAAAGCTGACATCAGAATGCAAGTTACGGGCGACTCGCTATTGCTACTATCTAGCTGTAGCCTGTTGGAGCTACTGTAGTCATAACATACCACAACAGGTTATAACATACTGTCATATATGCAGTGTTTGAATCTTGTAGGGCATGCCACAGTAAGGGCTAGGGCAGCTTCATTGGACACGATCTCACAATTCAGCCAGACCTCCCCTTCAGGCCTGGAGACGGAAAAGCATCGTTTGCCCAATGTAAGCTCTAAAGTTGCGCTTTAGACTGGTAAGCAGCATCCCAACAGCAAAGCATTCGATGAGTGTTCCGAGCGGCTATAGCCACAGACAGCTTATTCTTGCTTGGGATTACAGGCGTTTGGTACAGAGGCCATCTGCATGATCCCAAAACTCTTCACCTCAGTCTGCAACGGTTGGCTACACGCACAGTTGTTCTGTACGGCCAAATATTCGAGTACTCATCACACCCTTGGTATCTACAAGACTCTTGCTCACACGAACACACACAGAGCATCACCGCTGGATGCAATGAAGGTGCACATCTGAATATTTGGATCCATGTTCATGTGTCCTTCAGATCCAAGCTCCTCTGGGTCGAAGTCTAGCGTCACATAGATTCGCCGGCCATCCTCGAGCAAGGGGTCGCTCTGTACGGACTGCTTGTTGAAACAGGGATCATCAAACTCCAACACCTCTGCATCCCCCATCACTGGCTCAAGCTTCACTTCATGCCCTTGATTCTCTGCACTAACAGCAGACACTGAAGCTTGCACCACAAGCGAGTTGCGCTTGAAGCTCACAGGAACACTCG